TGGCCTTCATTTCTTACTTGATCTTCTGATGAATGCCATGGAATCTCCTCTAAACAGCATCTCTTTATAGAATATTGTTTCCACAATCCACTTGAGACCTCTTGAGCTCTCGTGGAGAATTAAGCTCTTCTGATGGTGATTCCATTTGTAGAAGAGCAAAGTATAGAAAGGAGAATGGCTGAAATAAACTTTTTCAGCAAAGTTGTAAGATTATAGTGAAGCATATATATAGAAAAGACACGTACAAAGGTTGTTATTAAATGGACGGTTGGATGAAATCTGGTATAGGGCTGATTGTCCTTTTCGGTTGGGCTGCAGCTGGGAGGTGGAACCATATCCTTTACATCTCCATTTAAACTGATGGTGTTAGCTGGCAGGATCAGTTTGCTAGTGAGTTGTTGAAATTTGAAATTGGAGAGAGTTTTGGTTAGAACATCTAAGAGTTGATCGGGTGATGAGATGTGATGAACGGTTAGTTGTGTCTTCTGGATACAATCACGGATGAAGTTACAATCAACCCCAATGTGATTCGTACGAGCGTGGAGGACTGAATGTTTGGCGATTGTGATGGCAGAGATGTTGCAGTATAACGTGGTGGGTTCATGTTGAGGAGTACCAATATCAGCCATAAGGCGACGAAGCCATACTGTGTCTGTTGCAGCGGATGCAAGCGCCTGATTTTCATTTTCGGCGGAAGAACGAGCAACGGTAGCTTGCTTCTCAGCGGACCAAAATACCAGAGTGTTGTCAATGAAAGAACAATAACCTGATGTTAATTTACGGTCTGTTGGGTTGGCGGCCCAATCGGAGTCAGAGTATGCCGTGAGGTGGAGTGTGGAGCGGTGGATAGGAATACCAAAGGAGGTGGTGGCATTGAGATAGCAAAGTATGCATTTAAGTTGTGTGAGGTGATGGGTGGTGGGATGCTGCATATGTTGAGAGGCAAGATTTACAACAAAGGCTAGATCAGGGCAAGTAAGGGTTATGTATTGTAGTGAGCCTACAATTTGACGGTAGAGTGTTTGGTTCAAGAGAGAGGTGGTATTCGGTGGTGCGGGGGTTGACTTGGGTGAGCATGGGTTGGGTACTAGTTTGGAATTTTACATACCAGCTGAATTAAGAATGTCAATGTTATAGTTGGGTCGAGAGAAATGAAGGCCGTAGCTTGTGGTGGTAACTTTGATGTTAAGGAAGTAAGATAGTTGGCCAAGATTTTTAATGTTGAATTGTGAGTGAATGTGTTGAATGGTGGATTGAATGAGAGAGATATGGGTTTCGGTTATAAGAATGTCTTTGACATATATGAGGATGTAAAGATGAGTGGTGGTAGTGTGTAAGCAGAAGAGTGATGGGTCGGCTGAGCTAGGCTTGAACCCGAGTGTGGAAAGGTAGGTAGAGAGAGTTATGAACCATTGACTTTGGGCTTTTTAGGCCATAGAGGGCCTTTAAGGCAAACGTGGTTGGGATAGCCGAGATCAATGAAGCCTTGCGGTTCGGACATGTAAATGGTTTCAGTAAGGTTGCCATGAAGAAATGCATTGGAAATATCCAATTGAAAAATGGGCCATTCGTTGTGGAGTGCGATAGTGATGAGTACTCGAATGGTGGAAAGCTTGGCGACGGTGCTGAAAGTTTCAGTATAGTCAATGACATGCGGTTGTTTGTGGCCTTGAGTTAGCAAGCGGGCTTTATAGCGGGAGATAGAGCCATCAGAGTTTAGTTTGGTTCGATATGTCCATTTGGACCCAATGATGTTGTAGTGAGGAGAAGTTGGTACTAAAATTCAGGTGCCTTGGGATTGGAGAGCTTATAATTCAGTAATCGGATGGTTCAGATGTCAGTTGATGAGTAAGATTGAGTATTTGATGTGGTTTAAGATGACCTAATTGGAGATGGGTACGCATGGATGGGTTGATAGTTGAGGGGGTTGTAGGATGAGCTGTTCGTGTGTTGGAGATGAGGTGGGTGAAGGATGAATTATGGGAGCTAGTGTTTCGGGTAGAATACTGGAGGAGGACTGATTGGTATAGAGGCTGATGTGGAAGATGCTGTTTTGGTGATTATAGATGCTGGTGTTAGAAGTAGAGGAGGTTGTGATATGGGAGAGGTGGTTTTAGGTGGTTTGGTTTGGACTTGTTGGGAGAAGGGGAAGATGTGTTTATTTAATAGAAAATGGCCAGAGATGTAGAGTTTGTGGGTGATTGGATCTAGTCATCGGTAGCTTTTTATGAGGTGCATAGCCAAGGAAGGCACATGGAGTGGAGAGCGGAGCTAGTTTACTGTGGTTGTATGGTTTGCGCCGCGAATAAATAGACATCTAAATACTTTGAGATGGTTGTAGTATGGGACACGGTTGTAGAGAATTTTGTAAGGGGATTTGGTGGTGTTGCTGCCTAGAGGTAGGCGATTTATAAGGTATGTGGCGGTGAGTAGGGTGTCGGCTCATAAAAGCTAGTATCATAAGAGCACGAGTAATGTCAAGTAGGTGACATATTTTTATTCTACCACACCGTTCTATTTCGGTGTGTAGGGACAAGATTGTGGGTGTAAAATGCCATGTTGGTTGTTTATTAATTAAAATGTTTTGTTTATGTATTCTCCGCCGCCATCAGTGCGGATGGATTTAATTTTGTAAAAATGTTGATTTTTTATCAGAGATTTGAAGTGTAAAAATTTTAGAGAAGTTTCACTTTTATTGCGAAGAAGGTAAATCCAAGTGTAGCTAGTAAAGTCTTCACTAAAAAGTAAGTAATATTTGTAAGCTTGTGTGGAAGAAGTGGGGGAAGGTTCCCATACATCAGAGTGAAATAACTATAATGGAGAAGATGACTTGGAAGTAGAAAGTGAAAAAGAGAGCTTATGGCTCTTTGCTACATGACATGAGTTGCAATGTAATTATTTGAAAAAGGGGTGTCAAAAGAATAATGTAGATGCAATGATAGATTTTTTTTTTTCCTTGAGGGATGACCAAGTCATTGATGCCAAATTTGTGGAGTGTGTTGGACAGAGACGAGCAAATTCCATTGTAGGCTGCAAGATGAGAGGAGGTTGCACCAGGTAAATAACGCCAACATAGGGGCCCCTTAAGGATTGTTTTGTTGGTCTTGAGATCGGTGATGTCGTACCTATCAGAATTGAAGGTAATTGAGCAAGATTTAGCTTGAGTTGATTTGTGAATGGAAATATGATTGCATGCTAGATTCGGGATATGGTGAAGATTAGACAGAGTAAGCTAACTTTGTGTGGTTGGGAGAATTTCTTGAACTATATGAGCAATAGGGAGTTGTTGCTCATTTCCAACTTATATTGTTTTGTCTCCTGGTATTCTTGAGCATGTTGAAGGTGATTTGGTTTGGATGTCATATGCTCGGTGGCGCCGCTGTCAATTTACCATTTGCTGTCCATAATTTCTGCATTGTTGGTAAGGATGACTGTTAGAGTTTGATAGGACTTGTCGTGACAGTACCATTATTTGAATTCCTCATGCCCTGTTTTGCGACATATTTGGAAAATTGGAGGATGGTTATTGCGATTGAAGTCATAGTTGGACCGGGATGAGGAAGCATGCTTGTTGCCTCTTGTTGTTGCCTCTTGTGGTGGATGAGTTGCCTTAGGTTTTGCCTCAACCTCGAGAGACAAATAGTGCCGTGGTGTTGAATTGTTCCTTCAGAGCCTCATTTGCTAGATTTATTTCTTCGTTGCACATAATGTGTAAAGGTCGTTTAGAGAGATTGGATTAAGATTGGTGAGAATGGTCGTCTTGAATGCGTGGTAAGTAGAGGGTAGGCTGTTGAGGGTGTGATGGATGGCATCCTCCGAGTTAAGAGAGGCTTCAGCAGCAAGAATGTCTAGTCTATCTTTTCCTTGACTTCCGAAAGATACTGATTCATGGTTTTGTTTGCCATAGGTTGGGAAGCTCGTTTTTCAGCTGGATGATGCGAGAGTGATTGGACGCCTGAAGACGTCGCTCTATGGTTTGCCATGTGTTGTGGAAAGTTTCTTAAGGTAGTACATGCGATAAGATTGAAGGCGATATGCCCGAGTAGAGAGCTGCCGCCAAAAATTGATCTATTAGCATCTATTTTAGAAAGTTGGGATTGGGAATAATTGTTCCGTTCTCTTCAGTAATGTGTCGAGGAGGGCACAAGCAGGTTCCATCAAGAAATGTATCATAGCCATTTGCTCTGAAATGTTTAAGAACTTACGCTTTCCATGTGAGATGATTATCGATGGTGAGTTGAGATAAAATGATGTTCTTGATGTTGCTCAAAATGAATTTTAGCTGAGACGGAATGGGGTTATCTGAGGGTAGGGAGTTAACCTGAAAGCAGGTGTTGCCGTCGGTGGAGGCATCGTAGTAGGAAGAAGCCATCGTAGAGACTTACTGAAGGATCAGCAAGGTTGAATTCGCAGGACAGGGCAGAGGCTCTGTTACCTTGAAGAAGAGCAGAGTATAGAAAGGAGAACAGTTGAAATGAACTTTTTTCAGTAACCTAACAAGATTACAGGGAAACATATATATAGAAAAGACTGGTACGAAGGTTGTTATTAAGTGGACGGTTGGATGTAATATTGTGTAGGCGAATGGTCCTGATTGGGCTGATTGTTCTTTTTGGTTGGGCTGCAGCAGGGAGGTGGAGCCATATCCTTTAGACCATTATGGTTTCTAGTTGGGAAGGCGTTGACTTAAAAATGGAGTTAGTGCTCAGTTAATAGCCGCAGGTCCTTCTCTATGAGTTTTTTTTTTTTACTTTTTTCCTCCATTTTTGTATCTCACTCAATACTGGTTGCTGAGGTGGTGCTTTTTCTTTGCCTGTTCGGCAGACCTTTTGGAGATCAATTGCAGCAGTTTAATATTTGAAACCATACATTTCTTCTACTCATGTTGGCTTCTTGCAGTTTACGAGTTGTCATATTTTGTATTTTGGTGGCCATTCTTTCCTATGATTTTTTAGTTACAACAAATTATTATTTATTTATTTGTTTTTGGTCCACATCAGGGTCTTTGCGGCTGTGAGAAATTTTCCAGCAGCTCCATAACAGAGGTCATTCAAGCTATCATCAAGCGTGATGGCTATACTGGGCTTCTGAGAGGATGGAAGGCTAGAATGGTCTTCCACGCACCTGCTGCTGCCATTTGCTGGTCTACATATGAAGCTTCTAAAAGGTTTTTTAAGAATCTGAATGACAAAAAGGCCTAACCTTTCTTCTATTCGTTAGATGGTCTCTTTCGAGACCTTTTTTACATAGTTGCTCATGAACAGGAACAGGTTTCTCAAGTAATCTAACATTTTTTTTTGGTTGGTGATTTAGCTATCAGAAGCTTTTTCATTAGCCGTTGAAAACCACATCTTCTATTTATTTTTCCCTATTTTCCTGGTTATTTAACCATTCTAAATAAGCTGAGGTGTGGAATGCAGCTTTTGTACCCACTTATTGATGGAGCAGCTAAGTAATACAGGAGAGACATTACAGATATAGTAGTTTTAGGAGCTACTGTACCCGTCAGTTATATTTTGTTTTTACATAATTTTGTAGTCTGCTTCGCTGTCCCTTTCACCACCATATAGGGTTGTGTTTTCTGTTCCATAAAGCTAGCAGATAGTCACAAATTCAATATGGTTTTCAACTATTTCATGTTATAGATTGCACTAGTATTTTATTTCCATGAGCAATTTAGCTTCATCTGTTACGAAGTAATTTCAATTTTGTTTTTTTGCTGTTTTGAGTTGTGATCTTGTTTTTTAACACTGATGGTTGAATTTGTAAAGAGCAATTTAAACTAAATTACTTTCTGCATGGTTTTGATACTTCGAGCAGGTTAAATGCACTATTTCTTTAATCAGTGACAGTATAATTGGAAATGTTTGGTGCTAAATAGTAATTACAGTCGCTACTGTGTTTCACTAGTTCTAACCATTGTATCACAATTGATACTTGCGATGAATCGATGTTTGGCCTTTAGTTTGGTGACTGAAGGACCTGCAGCTATTAACTGAGCACTAACACCATATCAAGTCAACACCTTCCCAACTAGAACCCATAATGGTGTAAAGGATATGGCTCCACCACCCTGCTGCAGCCCAACCAAAAAGGAAAATCAGCACAATCAGGGCCATTCGCCTACACCAGATTACATCCAACCGTTCACTTAATAACAACCATTGGACCAGTCTTTTCTATATATATATGTTTCCCAATCATATAACTCTCATCATATATTTGGGGTGTCTTTAGGCATGTGAAGGATGTAGTGCTATCTGATATATATAATTGATCAACCGTTTTGTGCTTTACCTTATCTTCTTATTCTTTTAGATTGGGAAATTTATATACCTAGCACACAATTTACTTTTATGTTGACATACATAACACTACTTTAAAGCTATGCATAAAAAGGTGTATTTGACTTTTTAAAAGTGGTAATAGTGCTCTTTTTTTATATGATATTGAAAATTTGAGTTTGCTATGTATGTAAATATTAAAGTTTATGTGCGAGATATGCAAATACATCAGAATTGTGTGCTATGTATGTAAATGCCCTTTTTAGATTTAGTGTCGGTCTGATCTTTTAATAATTAGTTTTGAGTTTGTTTTATGGGCATTTACATACATACCTTATAATTCTTATGAATTTACATATATAAAACCTAAACTTTGATTTTTATATTTCTAGCTCTTGAGTCATTCATATGATATCAAAATTACTGCTGTTAATTTTAAAACTGAAATATACCTTTTCATGCATAGGAAAAGTGCTATTAATATAAAAGTTTAGGTTTCATAACTTCATTGTTTTTTACTAATGTGCTTATTCAACATCAATATAGGATGAATTTATAACTTAAATTAAGATAAATTCAGTGAAATTCATTTGAATCCAAAGTCAAGATAAATAAAATAAATTCATTAATATATTAATGCTTGACATTTAACTTGGTTTTGTTTGACGATAATGAAGGTTTGATTTTTGTTTTATTAAAAAGTTTGGTATAATTGATTTTTTATTATAAGTTTGTTGAATCCAAGTCTAAATCAATCTCTCGGTGTTGAAGAAGATGTTGATAGACATAAGTTCAATTCAACAAATCATCTGATGAAATTAGTAGTCATTCTTTTTTTTTGGGTTGTAGCATTCATCACAAACCTTGAAAGGGATATTAACTCAATTGAACATGTCTTCATCTTCGATAGAGCATGAAATATATAAATGTATTTTTATTAGATCAGAGTTAAATATATTAAATAAATTATAAAGGGGCATAGATCACTACTATCTTTTGTCAGTGACACTCATCCATTTGATGGTTCAATGAATTTTCCTAAGATCATAATGCAATTTAGAAATCATTGATCAACACAACTAAAAAATTTTGTAAAAAATCTACATTGAGGAAAGCTACCTGCATAAATTCTTTTGAAGCACCTACACATCTATGAAAGATTTAGCAAAAGATTTCACCTCAATTTAATAAGAATACAAAGTCACAGTAATTAATCCTTGAAGCTTGCAATTAACAAAATGATAAACTTTAAAAAGTTGCAATATATAAATTTTTTGTAATACCAGACAATATTCTTACATTACAAATTTGTGAAGGTACCCAAACATATTATCCATGTACAAAAAAAATTTCAACAAATTTTATAATTTATCTTATCACAAAACTTTATTAGTAATATAAACATCATAGTTTCAGCTTTCAGAAAATTTCTCTAAAAAATTAAGATGTCATAATTTTGCAACAAAAATTTGTTGGCAAATACATAAAGACAATAAGAGAGAACCACACTAAAACTCTGCGAAAAGTGCAAAACTCAGGCAAAAGAATCATTCTTGAAAAGAAAAAATTTTTTAATGCTCATTGAGTAACAACTTTTCTTCAAAACTTCTACATCTCTTCATTAATAATTAGCAACAACATCATTCTTTATTTTTCCATTTTTTTTATTTTCAGATTTTGAGAACAATCATCTTTCAATTAGAAAACAAAATAGAGCCTCAAAATGAGGAAATAAACCGTCACCTTTAAATTTTATTTGTCTGCGAGCTAATTCATGAATGATATCAATGAGCAAAGGCTTCCACTTGCTCAAAAGGCTATTGGTAGTGATGTTCGCATAAAAGATCAAGAGAGATATTGATGGAGGCATCAAGCATTTTGTGATTTATTTTGATGGAAGATATGATATTTGTAGTAACTGAGAGAGTTTTAAGTATTAGCTTTGTACAAAAGTTTCATACAAAAGTAAAAGCACTTTAGAAGAGACTAAAGATTTCACATCAAAAAACAAAGAGGAAAAAAAATCTATGAGACCTAGCACAATAGTCCATTATGCAAGTGAAGTGGTTATATAAGTTTGTAGATCCTCTTTTTTTGATAAGACATGATTTGAAAAAGGGGTTGAGCCAATTTTATTTTCTAAGATGCCAAATGATAAATTTTTATTAAATAATGGGTAAAATATGTATCGAGAGGGGGTGCCAAAATTACTAAGTATGTAAAGTATATAAGAAATAAATATGCAAATTCACTACTTATATAGAAAACATTTAAAATTTCAAGGTGGGCAATATAACTTGATTCCACCCCTAATTAGAGAGTATAAAAATTTCTTTGACCACTTATAACAATAATAAAGAATGTTAAATAATTGGAGAAAACGATGATGGTGATCGAGATATAGCAATTGGGACGAATTTGTGAGAGAGATGATGATTGTGTAACGATAGTTTTGTATACAAGTTAGGCAATATCAATCGAGGGATTACGGATGGACAATTTAGTTAATTTAGACAATTATGACTGAATTGCAACAAACAATCAACGACAATCAAATGACACAATTCAAGTAATGGCAATAGGTTGATGACAGTCTAGTGACAAAAGTTGATGACTAAATCTTAACATCAATCGTTTAATAAGGTTTCAGAGTACTTTAGATTTTAATCTCTCTTTTTTTTATTCTTTTAATGTGAAAAATGAGGATTTGCATGCAAGTTTTATAGTGATGTTTTAATAAATTTGACTAAAATTTTTAAAACTCAACCAAAAGTCACATGTCGATTCTCTTGATATTAGATCTTTATTTTAATATTTATAATGTGAAATTTTGCATTTGTTTTCAAAAAACTACTATTGTGAAGTCTTTAGATATAAGTTTATAGTAATATTAATTTTATGTTTTTTATATGTTCTTGAATAAAGTAATTAGCAAAGTGAAAAGTAGCTTTTCTTAATGATTTTTTTCCGTCATAGCTCCAAATAAAGAGTTTGAAAATTGTTTTCTTTCATTTTATTTTAGATTTTTTCTATGTCAGTCACTAAATTTAGAATATTTAGGATATAAATAATTATAGATTGTAATAACTATAGTAGCACTTCCAATCTCGTACATCATTTAAAATTAAAATTCATTTCAGAAGGGGAAGGAGAGATATGATCTCTTACCGAATGTAAAATTTCATGTAAATTAATCAAACAGTTGTTACATGTTCTTTAATTATGTCTTCATTTACCAATCTTTCTGAGATTAAGATGGAAGATGAAGGAATAGAAGTTGATGGTAAAGATATTCTTGCTAGATGTCGGCACTATTTTGGTTTGGAGAAGTTGCCCGTAAGAAGTTATCGGTCACCGGAATCAAAATTCCGTCGCTCGCTTCGGAAGGACATTTTAATATTTAGAAAACAATATAAAATCAAACTAACCCCATATTTTTCATAGTTTAAATGAAAGTGCGTTGTACCTCTAACCTTGTATCTATCCCGAAGGAAAAACACAAGACTTGAGGGTGAGGCTTGATCAAATAAACTAAAAAACATATGACGTCTGTTTGATCTGCAAAACCATTTTATTTGCCGACAATTTCTCCTATTTAATATGAAAAATTAAATAGAGTTTATATTAAGCTGGGTTCGAAGAAGTTTCTTATAAGGGTAAGTCCCTATAGTTAATTATATCTTAAATGACAAAAGCCACCTAAGAAAACTTTCGATAAAAATCAGAAAATATTATCTTCAAGAATTTCAAAAGGATAGGACTATTCAATAATATAAGACAGAGAGGTGTGAAATGGAATTGGCTCAAATTTGGAGCATTTTGTAACTATGGGATGTCATGAATCCAGAGGAGAACCTTGGTGACTTCCCGGTCTATCCTATTATTTGGGTTTAGTTTTGAGGTTGGGTTTAGTTTTGAGGAGGTAAGGTTTGTTTTTAATTTTGAGGAGAAATATTTAGGTGTTCCATCCTGCCAATTTTATTAATTTAGGACTTACACTTGTGTAGGACGATCACACAAATAGTCTGAAAGATGTGAGAATTTAGGTCATGACAAACTACAACCTCAGAATCCTAAGATGAGTTAGGGCTTATATTGTATAACAGAGCTGTACAAAGGCCTAAAGATAAGGTGAGGATTTATCTTGCATAAATAGACAACCTCGAAATCCTATGGCTTGTTGTTTAATTCTAAGGAAAGAATAGTTTAGCCGGGGAAAATAGGTTTTGTTGTTGAAGATGGTTGTGCTGCCCCGTGCTAGCTCCAAGCTTCTTGTTGTGACGAATTTAAGTTTTCTAGGGTATCCAGGTATGATATCAAATCAGGTGACCCAATAGTTGAAGTTCTTTAAAATTTATGGGGCATGTTAAAGTTGATTAGAGCGACACCGGTTAAGATCATACGGTTCCCTCGTTCTG